CTGTTTTTGTTATTGTTGTTGTTGTTTTACCGTTATTATTCCTTGAAAATAATCATCATCAACAGAATTAGCAGCAGCAGTACTAGCAGCACTAACAGAATTACCAGAACTAGCAGCAGCAGTACACATACTAACAAACATGGGAAAGCACACACATAAACAGATATGCACAGAAAAACCCATAGACAAGCATACAAACACACACACACACACACAGAAGCAGTTACAAACACATACCACACATGCTTCTAAACTCACTAACACATCCTTTCCGTACACCAGTGCAAAGTCAGTCACTACTACCCTTCACTCTTCCACCACCACCCTTTCTACGTTACAAGCCAACGATCAGACAGTTGTGCAGTGTATAGAATATATTGCAGTACGGTGTAATCTCATTTTGACTTGACTGAATAGTTTGTATACTCATAGCTATCATGAGCAACTATTCTCATCTAGAAGGGCATGGAAATTTTTATATTCAGTCTAAGGGGGTTTAAACCAGTTCCAAATTCTTGAAATCAGAGTAATTAAATCTATTTTACAAAAAACTTATACAATTCCTCCTGGCTTTTGTTTCATTGCTTTCAAACAGGTACCTGGAAAAGTTGGGACAAAGATAATCAACAGTACCTGTCAGAAGTTATAGTAAATATAGTCTGCCTTCCCTTTGTACTGGCTTATCATTATATATATATTCAGACACTGTGATATGAAATATTACATGGCTGAGAGAACTACTGCTGTGTTGGATGTTTGCTTCTCTTTGACTGAGAACAAAGCAATTGTACACTTTTGCACAGGCATTTAATGTTCACAACTCCACTACACTGAGAATTGCGGACTGCATGGAAGGCAATGCCTGTAACTATGTAGCACTTAATATGGGCTTTATTTACCTTCCCTCAGAGCATCATTGTCCAGTGTTGTTGTGTTGGCAGCCATAGTGAAACTGTGTTCTTGTTGTGCATCATTGAGGTATCAGAACTGAAGCCGATTTCAAACAGGATCAGATTAAAAAAATAAAATAAATACCCTAGCAGAAAAATGATTATGACCCAAAGAGGATCCAGTTAAAAACAGCAAAACTGATAACAAAATTATTAAGTGTACTGAAAAAAACGGTAGAATAAATCCTGGGCGCGAAAAGTTGCCCCTCGGATGAGAAGCCGGCACATTACCACTGTACTAGCCCGGAGGCTATATCTAAGAAATATTGAAAACAAAAAAGAAATACATATCTTGGACACTGTAAAAATGGTGTAATTATTGCTCACACCCTGCATGTGGCAGAGGGCATTGGGAAAAAGGTTCAGGCTATGAACAGGTAGATGAGAGAGGATCATCATCGTTTTTACCATCTATCTCATCATCATTTCCAACCATGTTTCCTGTGAAGGAATCAGGAGTGGTTGAGAGGGATGGGTGAGGATTGTCATGCATTCCATGTTCCATTTAATTGGCGATATTAGCTTCGCATTTACTTCTTTCATGGTATCAATACATTGTGTTAACTTACCTTTTGGTAATTCTGCACCAACATAAATATTGAAGGGCACATGAGAGTGCTGATGTGGCAACATCAGCCTACTTTGGTGGCTGTAAGGTTGACATTTATTGTTTACATATAACCTACTGTAGTTCCCATTAGAAGTGTACACAAACTTTGTTTTTGTAAATGTATATATATTCTGGAGTTCATGCTCTTATTTCAATTTAATCTAATTTCACAGTCGCTTCTTTTATTCTTTATCTTTTATCAGTCTCTTTTGTGATTACAATAATGTGTACGAACTCTTAGACCCACCTCAGCAAAAGAGTGAAATGATGAATAACATGGACCCCATGTATTACAAAACTTTAGTATATTTTCACCAGATGTCTAAAGACTCAGACATTAAGATATCAAAGCCTCATTTCATCATAGCCTAAGCTGACAAAACATTTTCTATTATCTATTACCATAAGCCCTATAAATCAATCTCCATCACAGTCTCATCACAGACTGTTTAGTGAGTAAAACTACAAAAAAAGGATATTGCAGTACACACTTTACTTTTTTGACCCTGCATCTCTAACTGCACAACACATTGAATTGAGGTATGATAGAGTACTGCTTACTCTCTTAATCAGCAAAGTAGATTCAACAAGTCAAGTTTTAGCAGCAATTATTCAAAAAAAGGAATATGCTGATCCTAATTCTATATATTCTCTGAATCTACTATAGAATCTATTTCAAACATAATATTTCTATTACTGCTTTCTTTAAACCTGTGAATATTTTGATTGATTCTTTAATTTCTACCATGCTCTGATGACTTCTTTGATGTATGCAGTAGCTATACCCATGTAATTGGGCATCACACAATAACTTTCCATCAAGCTTCACTATAGAACCAAGAATATCTTTGTAAATCTCTCATTAATATTTCATAGATTTCTGTACAGATAACCTATGCACCTAACAAAAACTGTGGAGGCCATTACTAAAATGTTGTAAGTGATAAGTAAGAAGATGGAAATTTGCATGGAATAAAGAACCAAGTGAAAGGAAAGTAAAGAAACAAAAAAATAAATATATAAAAGGAGAAAACAACAGCTAGATTTAATAATCAATGTTTCAGCAGTCTCTCCCTCAAATCAATCCAGAGCAGAAGGTAGGCATGAGCATGAAAAAATAATAAAGATAAAAAAGGAAGAAAGAAAGAAAAATTACATTAAGATGAATCATAACAAACAGGAGAGGAGGAATAAGCTATGCAGCTAGGAGAGTCATGTAACCATGGTCTGATTAAATACAAGAAATTTTCTAAATTCAGACAGAAAACATCTATCAGCTATCCTCAATAACTGGCCTCTTGAAGGCAAGTGATACCCAAAAATAGAGACCTTGTGTTGCTTACCACATTTCAACAGCGAGCTTCACATTTAACCGAATGGCGCCGGGTGTACAAAACAAAAAAAAACTCTACGCTCTGGCAAACAAAGGCGGCGCGCCGACTTTGAGCGCGTGAGTTGGGTATATCAGCCCGAATCACTGGCTCGCCACGCTTTGGCGCACCACCGTTGCGTACAGCCGCACGCCAGCTTTCGAACGGTTTGTTTTCACGCCGATCGGCGTCACTCGTCATTAAGGGGTTGACATTCAGGATTTACCATTAAAAAGTCACTGTTTTTCTTAAAGCCTAAACATGTATCTGTGACAAAAGAAAGGTGCTCTCACTCCCTATATATACCACCAAGGAGAAGACAAAACCACTGAGAAATTTTCCACCCTACCTATCAACTGTGAAAGCAGCTCCCCAGTGTGGGCATCATAAAGATTAGACGTTCTGTCCCAGGCAGCAGTAATCGCTTGGTCTCCTCCTGGCAGCCAGTCAGCAGCAATAACAACACTGGTGTGTCCTGTCAGCTCTCTCAAAGGAGTGCGGAGTGTTGCAGCTCCACCACCATCACCACGTACTCCCATCATGCCTCCATCTTCTTCATCTTCTCTGTCACTGCCATCTACTTCGTCTTCTGAGGAATGTACACGCTGGAGGGAAGACAACATTATACAGTTAACATTCCATAAACACAAGTTGAACAAAATCAGATGCAAGCCATAACTTGCTTCATATACCCAAGAGCTTACAAAATGTGAAATTAACATTAATTAACCAAATGAGAGTGGGTGGCAAGGCAACAATGTCATGCCCACTGTAATAAAAGTCTTTACACATAGATGGCTCTACAAGTGTTTAGTCACCAAGGAGTCAGCTATTAGTCTTACTTATCTTATCTGTTTACCCTTTTCGTTCATTTTTTGAAAATTTTACATCTATTATTTTATTGTCATTTATGTTATTAACATCTTAATAACAATTTAATTATCATAATACCAATAAAAATGATAACAATGTCAGTATTAATAGTACTGGAAAGAAAAACATATTCTCCAGCCAATTCAAGGAATGGGGAAATCAGGATCAATCACTGATAGACTTCTTGCTGCTGAGCTAACATGGAGCATTCTGTATGTAACAAAACTCACTAAAATCTAAAGGGGGACAGTTAATAAACCCGTTGACATTGGGATAAGCAAGTCATTTGTTTCAGTTCTTTTAACAACAATTTCTTAAAACGATAGACACAAATCTTTAGGAATTTTAGACTTTTCTAAATAGATTTTGCATAATATGACCCACTTACTTCAAGTTTGTTATCTTTGATCTCTATGTGTAATAATGCTCAATTTTTGAATGTAAAGAATAGCAAATTTGGTCTTCAATTATTCTAAATTTATTCCGAACACAAAGAGATGCAAGAACTGGGTCAAGGCAACCCAGGAGGACCACTAGCAAGTCTCTGATATGCTGTTAGTCCTAGACTAGCTCCAGCTTCTATGTACTTAACAGTATATACTACAGCAAGTCAGAACTAGCTCCCTCAAGTCATTAAGGATTAATAATATGACAGGTAATGTGCTGATTTTCTACTGAGTTCACAATTTTTCCATTCAGTTATAGTAAACTTTTGTTCATCATTTAGGCAATCCCACCACTTGATCACAGCATCCAGGCTAAGGAAAAGGGATCTACAAACCAGCTGGTCAGGGGTGATGGCAGCCTGGAAAACATGAGCTGTGTTGTCTCCACTTGCTGTAAGGATCAGGTCTTTTGTGGGGTGAAATTTGACTGAATTGACTGATCCACTGTGACCTGTGTACTGCAGCAGATTTCTCCCTCCATCAATGCCCCACACACAGGCTGTCTGGTCTGTGAAATGCAGGATACACAAGATATAAAAGTTACTGTGAAAATAAGTAAAATGCAGAAATGAAGATGTGACAAAAAAATTTAAGTTATATGGAGAATATTCCCATTTACATTGTAGGTAAAGCTAATGAGAAACAGGAAAAGAATTTTTTTATGACCTTTTGTCAGACTGCTACAAAAGTTTACTTTATTGTAAAACCTAGTGAGTATACATATCACACTTTCTTATATAATTAAACCCATTGATTACAATGTAATATCTGGTACAAAGTTAAAATTCTTAATCCCATGCACTCACATACATATATACAAACACATCATATGGCATATTGTCTATGCCTAGAATTATTAAATTTTGCTCTACTTCATTGACATAACAGTAATATGACAACACCATGCTAGTGTTTATATAACCAATGTGAATGTAAAAGTAAAAAGGAAAAAAATAACACTGTACAGTGCCAGCTACATTAGCATTTTTTTCATGATAAACCTCTTCCCCACTAATTTGTCTAATGCAGTTGTCTCCCACATGTTAACCCACTAATGATGGGCGTCCCACTGGTTAGACACCTGGAAAACAGATCATTTCCGGGCGTCTCACATGTGGGATGCTGTTTTTACCAACTGTTTTCCAGGTGTCTCACCCGTGGGACAATGGTCCTCATTGACATCTGTTATGTCTACATGGATATTTCCAAGACTATTTCTCATTACACATGTAACCACTAGTTACATCATGAGGTCATATGAAAAAGATGTGAAGTTACTACTTCACATGACATCATACACATATACACACATGCACGCACGTGCGCACACAAGCATGCTCACACACACAGACACACAGACACACACACACACACACACACACACACACACACACACACACACACACACACACACAGACACACACACACACACACACACACACAGACACACACACACACACACACACACACACACACACACACACACACACACACACACACACACACACACACACACACACACACACACACACACACACGCATGCACTTTACAGCTGCCATTTTACTTCCACAAAGTAGTAAATGAAATCACAAATGGAAGTGATGTTACTACACAGGCAATGATGTGATTGGTCATGTCATGTGAAATGTGACCCATACTGCTTTGACCTCATTGGCGACTGTTACTTCCACATCTCCCTCCAGGTTGAAGTGTGTGAATTTTCCCATTCATTCATTACTCGCTCTCACAAGGCTACACTTCTCAAGCCTTCGAAGACACTCCTCCTCCCCCTCTGAGGTCAATGAACCCCAACCACAACCTCATCAGCTCCTCTTGCAAAGGTGCTTCAGCAACGTATCTCGCGCTGATCTTCGTCTTCTCCCTGCTTTCCCCATAACCTCTCCTCTGAGATGAGTGGGGATGTGTGGCTGCCCAGTAGGATGGAGGATGCCATTGACCCCACTTTGACATTCCAGTTCAGGTGAGGAACTGGACTACATTTCTCAGGTCAACACTACTCTTGATAGTGATGAACCTCTCTCCAGTGTGGCAGCCAAGTTGCTACAAGGGAATGCTACAGGGAGCAAGAAGTTCGCTTGGCAATGTAGAGATAAAATCATTTCAACAACCTCCAATTTGCCCACTTGGAGGAAGGAGCTCCACTCCCAGAGGACAGGATGCGGAAGCTCCAACCAGTCGTGGGCTCACTCAACAACTCGTTTCGGTCGACATTTGTGCTAGAGCAGGACACAGCCATAGACAAGTCGTTGTGTAAGTTCCAGGTGCAGCTAGGCCTCTCCAAGGTCTGGTACAGCAAGGTCTTCTTTTTCCTCTCTAACTTGGCCATTGTCAATGCCTGGGCTATCCATCATGCCCAAGATCGGAGGAATCTCAGAAGGCCTTCCAAGTTGGCCTCACCTCAGAGTTATTAGGACATCTCTGAGAAGTGGCCAACTAAACGAGGAGCAGAGCTACAATGAGGCGTGCTCTTCACAATCAATGACACAACATTTCAGAGACTGTGAGTAGGAGGAAGCGATGTCAGGTTTGCTCAAGACAGGGTTGTCGTCATTGCAGTAGCAGGAGTTATTGTGCCGATTGTGATGTCAGAGGAAAGGAACCGTCGCTAATGTGTTAAGTAATATGTGGGTTACAGCTGCGATAGGCTAACATTTAGTAATTCACAAAAATATAGCCTGTCAAACATACGTATTACAGCAAAAGACAGGTCTACTTCAGACATACAATAATATGATAGAACCATTGTGGCTTGTAAAAATACTGACACTAATTGTTCTTGTTAATTAGAAACACATACATGCTTTCCTTTCATTCTGCATACCATAACAATACATTGACAGCTGCATAGATAATTTTCTAATGATTAGCAAGTCATTAGAATAATTTAAACCTCAAACAAATATTGTAATTTTTTCTTCTTCTTTTTCTTCTTTCAAAGAAGCACCTCACAAACTAATATAAAATGTGAGAAGCAGCAGCAGTGACTAGAATCATATGGCTGCACTTGAAATGCACTTGCTAATTAACAAAAATTATCATCTATAATTACATCAAGTACAGCTGATGGTTCCCATTATATTTTGCCTATAAGTTTTCTTTTTATCATTATCAAATGACACTAATTATTTTTGACATGGGAACAGTTTTCACTTACTCCAATGCAAAATCATTATAATAAATAACAGCTATCATCATCAAATAACATGTATTTGGGCGAAATACAATGATAAACATGATAGCTACTTCCTAGATAAATAAGCAATTGAGTTGAATTGCCAATAAATTGAAATGGGGCAATCAGCACTGTATATCTGACATTCTCACTCTCTTTACAGTTTTAGCTTTGTCAGTAGCCAGTCAGAGGTACAGAATGGTTAGTTTGAGATGACCACACTAACCTATATTGTATAACATCGTGCAAACTGCAATCTGTATTTAGCATTCCTGATGAATCTGTCGAAGCTAATGGGTTAACTCAATATACTTACATGCCATGCCCACTGTGAGTTTACTTTATTAATTGTTTTTACACATAGATAGCTACATTTGTACTAAGTCACCAATGAGCCAATTATGAGTACTGCCTGTCTCTCCCAATTACCCTTTTCCCTGATTTATGAAAATATTTTATGTTATCCTATTTTGCAGTTACTAATGTTTATAACATTATAGTAATCATAATGTTTATAATAAAAATAACACCATCAGTGTTCAGAGCATTGGTAAAAAAAAAAAGGAAAGGTGAAATCAGGTAAGGTCACAAGGTCTACTAATTGACTCCTTCGTGGCTAAGCACTAGCAGAGCCATCTATGTGCAGAGACATTTCACAAAAAAATTAAAAATGAGCACAGCTTTTCACAGCAGTACTGGGTTAAGAGACGACAACAAAAAATTAATTATAGAATTATATAAATTTGCTAAAGACAGAAAAAACTGAAAAATAGAATAGAATAATTAAAACATATAGGTTTGTCTCACCTGCAGATGCTGTGGCTATGACAGGTGTTCCTCCCCTGGACACTGCGACATCCCAGACTCCGTCTCGGTGACCAACATACTCACGCACCATTCGGCAAGATACAGAGTCGTTCTTAAAGCTTGACACTATCTTGGATGTCTGAACACGAAGCTTGTTTGCTGCTTTCACTTTCTGTGAACTCTGACCTCCAGCTAGAAACAGGATTTTTTCATTTAGTACTTTCCAAAAATATAATTTACTGAACAAAACATTTTTAAAGTAAAAATATCTGAAACTCTCTAGAAATCTCTAGACGCTTAAATATAAGAAATAATAATAAAATTCACAAAATAGGAGAAAAAGGCAATTATCATAGCACAGTATGTTGCCATGACTGGTTAGCAATAGATATCCATACATATCAAAGCTGAGAACCAGTCTATTTTATTCTTTCTAAACGTTTTTTTCTACCATAAG